AGAAATTCGAAACGACATAAAATCAGAAAGCTTATTCATACATAGCCATAAAGTAAATTATCTCATGTCCTTAAAATGCTTTTTTGTGTGCTTTTGTATGACAGAAGATTTGTCCTTGGTTTGTCTAAACATCCGTGTGCAGTGGTGCTGTATATTAGTGGTGAAGTTGGAAGTTATTCGTGCCTTGTTCTTAATCAAAGACTTTCAACTTATAAGAGGAGGAACTTAAAACTACTAATTTTTTGAAAGACGTCATTTATGAACGACCCGAAATTGTTCATTGAAAAATCCAAGTTTCAATCAAGTAGACTAGTGACAATCATAACCCAATCCCTATATACATCCCCACCCATTTTTATGAGCATTTCAATACCTAAACCTACGTCCATTCAATTCACCAAAAGCTACAAGTCACATAGGGGCTGTTCACTTATTACGTAACGCGAAAAAATGACTTCTTAGACCCCCCCCCCCTCGTAACAAAATTTGTATGAAAAAAAAATTTCCTTGTTTGAACCGTAACAAAATCTTAGACCCCCCCTCCCCCTAAAAGCGTTACGTAATAAGTGAATGGCCCCATACGGAAAACAGGCATTTCAGCACACACATTTTTGGTATACAAAACAATTTCGTCCATTAACCATTGATTACATAGCACAAAAATGCGTTTTGATCCATCACGTTTGACCTTCTCAATAGCAATTTCCTATAAAGCAAACATACATCGTCATATATCGTAATCGATTTTCGTTTATTTCATAATAAATATCCATAATAAATGATCAAGTTTATTTATTCAATCGATTGAAATCCCAAAAGAAAGGAACATTAAGTCTTACAATTTGTTATAGAGCACAATACACCACCCCTTGTGAGCTTCTTATTTTATTTAATATGCATCGAGTTGCTTTACGTTTTTATCATCAGCACATGAATCTTCATAAATAAAGGAAGGAAGAAAAAAGTGGAACACATTTTAAAGTCATTCATTCTTGACATCAGCCATCCCAAGGGTGAAACAGCTTGGTGGGAAAAGCTTTGATGAGAAAATTCTCATCGATTTTTCAGTGATTTAAATTATTGAAAATTTTCTATCAAAACTGTTTTCCATCATGTTGTTTTCCCCCTTGAGCCACCCACGTCATAAATTTTCCATTTTCTTCCTTTTCTTGCTCCAAGACTCATTTACTTAAATAAGCTTTTAATGATAATTGTATGTTTATATCCTCATTCTTATTGCATTCTACAATCTGCTACTCTACATCTTCAGTCATAAGCACATAAGTAAAAATCAAAATGCTAACGAGCCATTTGCTAAATTCAAATATGAAATTGCCATTCATTCTCACATCATTTTTCGGCTGAGCAAGAGATTTCCTTTTTTTGTGTGTACATTGCCGGATATTTTCTATATCCCTTGACAAATATTTACGTATGCACACATAGAAATTTTCCACAAAATTTATAATCATGTGAGAAAGAATAAAAAAAAGGTTTTGTTGCTGCCGATCACATACACACTCATGCTCATAAAAATGATTGCCAATTTATTGACAATTTGTTTATAGTTCTGTGCCTGAAAATTTATGTGTAACAATTTTTTTGCAAACGCATGCAAAAAAATAAAATTTTATTTTATTTTATTTGTTTGGATTTTAATGAATTAACTTCAACTCCTTGATTCTCAATTTAAACACACGAAACTAGCAGTGCTAGCGAATTTGTGGGAGGGCAAATTACCAATAGAAGTTTCATTAAAAAATAGTCGAGGCTGATCATAAATTACTTGTTTTATTGCCATCTCTAGCTTATATATATTTATTTAAGTTTATTTATGACTTTTGCTAATGAAGATTCCTTAGCTGCTTATTTTTTTCTTTAAACAATAAGAAATTGGAAATAGATGATGATGATGATGATGATGCAGAAAGTTTTGTGGAGAATGTTGGCTAGGGTTTCTATATTAATAAAGTTGCGATTTGCCGGAATTTAACAAATTTGGTTCTAATAAAGAAACTCATGTAAAATTCTGAAATTTTAGATTCAAATGACATGCCCAACAACCAAAAGATCCAACTAAGTTTGTTAAGGGGTCGTTCACTTATGACGTCTGAAATTAACGGTCATTTTTCAAAAAAGAACAATGGATTTACTGGAATTTCTATTGTTTATTTCTTGCTGACCCCCCCCCTGTACGTCATAAGTGAACTGCTCCTAAGAATATTCTTATCCTTCAACCATCTTCCAACATGAAGATCGATTAGATCAAGAATTTATGCATAAGAAAAAATCACATCAAACAAGAAGAATCCCTCATACCAAAGCTCTCCAACGACGATAATTCGATTTTATTACTTAACTTGAAAAGTCAGCAATTTTAAAGCGATATTAATCGACATAAAATATGTGTCAATAATTTTATGACCTTTTCAGATAGTTTATAATAATAATTATGATATAATTCAATAATTTTTCGATTTTTATTGATAATTAGCTCGACTTTTATATCTAGAACGATAATTAATGGCTTGTACTTTTTAGTTTAACGCTGTTTATTTTTATATTTTTAAAAACAGATGATTACACTAAAATTTATTTTTTCAATAATATAAATAAGCTTTGTTGCTGATCGTAAATTATGAGAAATCTATAAGCTTTGTTATTTAACATTGAGTGTGGAATTGAAACTTCATCAGAAAGCCACAAGAGTAATTAATTTTTAAAACTTAAAGCTAGATTTTCAATTTGCTAGATTTGTGCTGAATAATTGAAAATTTCAAGAATTTTTTAACAAGAACTGACAAAATTTTTTCATGCAATTTATAACAAGCATCTGCTTTCATCTGCTGACGTTAATATTATTACGTGAAAAGTTTCAGATTACATTTTGGAAATTCCTACCCACAATATTTTAATAAGTTCAAATAAAAAAAAAATCATTTCGTACCTTTTTTCCAGTTTTATCACAGATTTTCATTAAAATTGATTGCAGGTCGAATCATATTTGCAAAATTAATGCTAAACTTGATATTTTTTGGATGAAAACGATCACATTTTATGGATAAAATTATTTTAGGACACTTAAGAAACTGAGCAGTTTCGAAAAAAAATATCTATTTCAAGATTTTTTAAAACAGATAAAAACTAATGTTTACTTTATTGAAAAAAAAATCTGATTCATCCAAGGTGAGAAATTTTTTCATTTAAATATTTAAAAGTTTTTTAATCTCTGTGGCAGCTCCTAATTACTGTGTTTTCGTGAAATAATTGAAGAAAAATTTGGATGATTTTAATAATTGCGATTTAAAATTCAATTGAATTTTTTTAACAAATAACTCAACTGAGAGCTCTTGACGCATTAGGTTTGAAACATGATATTTGATAAATTATGAACCACTTACTTCTTACTAAGGGTAAGTATTGTAATTCTAATTTTTGTCATTTAAATGTCAATCTCGAGAAAATTCAGGATTTAGAAAATTAAAACCTTTTTAAGTCTTTGCTGGATCTCTTTGTTGCCCCTAGATTCATCTTTCTATACTAGTTTTTTAAATTGTAATTAAGAAACTGAGATTAAATTCTTTACAAGAAATCTTCTAAAGTCCTTTGAAAAATTCTTGAACCTTATATGCTCCATTCTTCAAAAAAAAATAACTTATTGAAGATTTTTTTAATCTTTTCAATAAATATTGGAATTTTAAGGACCTAACCTTTTTGTCGATTCTTCAGAAATGATTTCTGAATCTACGTCTAAAAACAGTTTTTAATCAAATACTTTAGGACCTTATTAAAACACACTCAAGTCTAATATCTACAAACTCAATTTTTCATCATTTTAAGAATTATTTTTCATAGAAGAAAATAAAATCAATTTAGGAATTCCAATGGTGATTTAAGCGCATACTTAACGATATCTCAAGTGTTCATCCTTAACAAAAAGCTTCACAATCTTAATTTATCAGAAAAACTTGAGATACTTCAGAATTATTAACAACATCATCATTCAAAATTAATGAATGATGAGAACAATCGAGCTAGTCATTCAAAAAAGAAAAGGGATCAAAAAAAAGCTATGACAATGAAGTTGTGTCAATGCATGAAAGTTATCAGTGTCATCATCACAAAAGACTTTTCCGGCAAAACAAATGTCTTAATGGAAAAGATACAAAAAATAAATAAATTGAGATTTCCATTTCCTTTTCATATGTTCAGCATGTAAAGCTTCACACATAGAATTGATATTTAAAGGAGGAAGCAAAAAATGTTTTTTAAATTGCCTTTCACAGACCTTTCCCATCCATTTAAGGCCTTTCTCTTCAAAAGAAAAAAAGAATTTTCTTTAACACCAATTCAACCAATTGTCTATAGTCACTAGCTTAGTCGTTTCTTATCCTTTTGCTTTCGTTGTTGTTCCGACGGAATAAACGGATGTAACTTGTGTAACAAATTTCTATGGTAACGAAAATGAAACAAACATTGTTGAAGACTATGAGGGTTATTCATGAATGATGTCCATAGCTATTTCTAAGATTAGTGACACACCTAGCATTAGAAAAGATCAGATCAGGAGTTGAAAGCATGTCAAAACTTCAATTTTCAACTGACGTCATTTACGAACTACCCCCAACGTATGTATGAACCAAAAAAAATTAAAACTGATTCCATATTTACTAACAGCACACAGGACTGAAAATTGGAAAACTTTTTGCTTATTCTAAAAATATTTGTGTAATGTCGTGGCATGGCTTGAAAATAATAGCAAAAGTAGGAAAAGAAGAAAGCAAGTTTTGCAACATCTTTCTTTACCTGTTTGATCAATACTTTATAATCCGCATTATAAGAAGATTAGAACGATAAGCAACGATGAGTTGAAACTTTTCTTTTTCCTTGTCTTGCTTGTTTGTTAAAAATTAAAATTTTAAATTTTTTCCTCCTCAGTTTGAATGAAAATTTTCTTTTGTAAAATTGAATAAATTTTCCTTTTTGTAGGTATGTCGTACCTTCTTATTCAAACACAAACTTCACTTTTTTTTCTCGATCTCACATTTATGATGAAAGATAGTTTAATCAATCTATTGATTTTCAACCTGTTTTAAAAATGTGATTAAATGTCGAGTTATTTTTATTTTTACACTATAAATTCATAGCCACACCACCTTTCAGTAAAGTCGGTTTTTATCCATTTGATGAATGGAGGTGCTTCAACCTCACAACATAAATCTTCGGTTCTCAATGTAGTTTGCACTTTTTGGTATGATTTTATATTTAAAAAAAATATTTTCCTAATGAAAACTTATTCTTTCCTTCCGATCGAAGTGAACCGCACGACTACACAACTCGTAATGAATAGAAATGATGTTCATTATATCAGGAGTTGAATTTTCAAATTCATTCTAAGTGGTGGAAAATAATTTTTTATTTTTTTCTTTCTTATTTTCAACATACTGAATGGGAAAACGTGCTCAGTCGGGTCTTCATTACTCTCTCGTTTGAGTTGCTCTCGGATTTTTACGCTCATGCCGACAAGCGCATGCTTTTTACAGATGTTATTATCATTATCATCAAACCTGTCGAAAATAACAGAAACATATGATCGGAGGAACTGTAAAGAACAATCAAAGTGTGCAAGAAGGTTTCATTACTTTAAAGGGGTCTTAGGTTTGATAAATTTTGATTTATATGTCCTAAACGCAATTTTATAAACTTTTCTATTTAAAATTCTTAACTCTGACTTAGTTTTCATTCTAATGATTATTTTCCACAACAGCAATAATTATTAAAACCATGGACCCCCAAAAAATTTATATAAAAATTTATTAGAGAGAAAATTTCCTTTTTATTACTTAAAAAGATTTTGTTTTAAAATATCTTTTATTACATATATCACATTATTTATAAAAAGATTAAGTTCCTACCTGACATAACATACGTGATGGAATATCAAGTACATAAAAAAAAGTTTTTTTTTTCTTTTGTACAGTAGCTGCATCATACAATATATCAAAGAAGTAGATGTGAGATGAAAAATAAAAACTTCTATGATTTATAGAAAAGGTAAAGGTTGTTTGAAGGTAAGTCTTTTTGATTAAGTTGAAAATCAAAGGCAGTCCTGAGAAGACATAAATGCCATTTGTCGACAAAACGAGTTGAAAATTTCTGAGTTTTTTATGACATTTTCATCCTCTCAGGAAAATAAAATTAAGCATCAGTAAATGAAATGGCAACTTAAGAACTCATTGTTAGGTGTTTAGATTGGTGATGGATTTTTTTTGCACAAACTTGTGATAAACCATTTGATTCAACATATCAGTTCGGCTGACATTAAAGAACTGACAATGTCTCATGAAGATAGGTACTTAGCAGTCATATTGATGCATACCCTTTTCGACCTCCATGTCATGTGCCATTAGAGAAAAATTTATAGTAAAAGTTACATTAATATTAAGACTAGAGAAAAATGTAATAAATGTTGGACATCATTAATGAACGACTCTATAGCAGTATTTAAGCATAATTTGAAAACTTTATGCTAATTATACATTTGGCATTCGGAGAATATAATTTTGTTCGCTGTGCTCATATTTTTTGTTCTCATTACTTCTCGATTTTTAATTGGAACAAATTTAATGTCATTTGTAAACAACTGCAGACTACTTCCGTTTCCGAGAATATTTTTAACCAGTACCTTTAGTATTTACACTAGCTCATTAATATTATACAATAATCCACTAGCTCATCAATATGAACCCCAAGTTTTCTTAATCATATCAGCCGCTCGTTCTCCAATCATAAAAATAACAGAATTAGGATGAGTTGCTGGAACTTCTGGCATTATTGATCCATCAGCTACGCGTAAGTTTCTTATTCCATATACTAAAATATTAAAAATAATTAAATTAAGCCATTTAAAATTGTTCGCACTTACCTCTCAGTTCTGGATCAACCACAGACTCTTTATCAACTCCCATTTTACATGTGCCAACTTGATGCTGCAAACTTGAAGCATATCGATGAATGCAGCATTCCCAATAGTCATCTAAAATGGAATTATTCTGCATCAAAAAATTTAAAATAAGACATGAACTTACCAGATCTAAATGGAAGATGTTCACAGCCAGTAAATGGCACATCGTGGAATTTCGTACCGAATTTCTTGAAAGCGTTTGCTTCACCGACTCGAAGTGCCATTTTTATGCCTTCTCTGAGAATAATTAAGTCTTCCCTGTTTGAATAAAAGTTTGGTCTTAAATGAGGATGTTGGAAGGGATTTGTAGATTTTAAATAAAGTCGTCCTCTACTTTTCGGTCTCATAAGAACTGGCGCAATTGTAAATGCATGTTTTCCAATTACATTTCCGAAGACTTTATCTATAAACTCTTTTGGAATTCCAAAGACATTTCGAAGGAAACCTTGCAATTAAAAGTTATATAAATAAAGTCAACTGTGAGTTTACTGAACCATAAAGTCATTGAAACTAACCTGATTCGTCACCAGTAAAAGCGCCAATACCCATCACCTGTGAATAAGGAAAAAGACTTTAATGACTCATTCCAAAATAATGATTTAATAAATTAGCATCATTACGAGTTCAATATCAGGATAGTCAGCAGGTAAGTACGTAATATTAGTCTTCACAAAAGCAATTCCTTCGGCACCTGCGGGTAAAGTAAATGGACCACCGTTTTTGAAAAGATATTCAAGCACAAATTTCGGTCTTCTCATGTTGCTCTCCAACACCGTGACTGGTTGATTGACCAAGAATGTCAACGGAGACAATGACACGTGATCTTGTAAATTATAGCCGACTTTAAGGTCTGAGAGAACTGGAATATTGAGTTTCTGTAAGTCTTCTTTTGGACCGACACCTAAAAAATATTCATAACATCATTAAAACTTAATAAATTTATGATGACTGATTTAATTACCGGACAATAACAGTAGTTGAGCTGAGCCAATGGTACCTGCAGATAAAATTACTTCCTTCTTGGCTTTAATGAAATATCGTTTTCGATTTTTAATGAATTCTACGCCTAATGCTGTTTTCGTGAATGGATCAATGACGATCTTTGTAACCCAAGAACTAGTTGATATATGCAAATTATCTCTTTTTGCAGCTACAGAACGTAAATATGCTTTTGCTGCACTCAATCGTCTTCCATTTCTCATTGTTGCTTGTGCTTGTGAGAAGCCTAAAACTTGTTCTCCATTTGGATCATTATAATCATATCCCAATTCAAATCCAGCTTCACGAAAACTGCTGTGTAATGCAGACGTGTATGGTGCATACTCAATATCAAGATAACCAGAATTACCACGATATGGAGAATGTCTTAAAGATGGAATTTTTACATTCTCAACTTTTCGAAAATATGGCAAGACTTCGGCAAACGACCATCCATAATTTCCCAACTCAGCCCATCGATCGTAATCACGTCTGATGGAAAAAAAATTGAAATGGAAAAATCATATTTTATGTGATGGATAAAAAAGGATTTGATGCTCACCTATGGCCTCGAGTATAAATTAGAAAATTGAGAACACTTGTGCCACCTAAAACTCGTCCTTTTGGCCAATTGCAGACTCCCTTTTAAGGATTGAGAATATTTTTAATAAAATTTAATATTTAATGCATAAATTTCCATTCAGCTCACATGTTCCAATCCTAAGCATGCATTCTGAGTATTTGGGTCTGTTCTGTACCCCCAATTATTTGATGTTGCTGAGTTAGCTGTGCCAAAAAGTCAGTTATTGCATAATTAAATAAGTGCACAAATAAAAAAGGATAATACCCGATGCAGTTAATGGCACATCTGTAAGGAATGTCTCTTGACGTCCCGCTTCTAGCAAAAGAACTTTCCATTTCTTATTTTCGCTTAAACGATTTGCTAAAGCAGATCCAGCACTGCCAGAACCCTTGGAAAAAAAAATATAAGTTCATTCACTATTCAACTGTTGCATGTAATTTAGAGACTTACAACAATGATGAAGTCATAAGATGGAAAGAAGCTTGTCGTATCTTCAATGATACTACTTGAATTATAAATTAGATAATTAGTTTGCTCAATTAAATATTGAAAAGGGTTTTGCTGCTGACTGTTTACATTCCGAAATTGGACAATGCAAAAGAAGTAAAGTATTGTGGCTGTTGAGCGGATGCTCATTGAACTCATGGCGTCAGTGTGATAATAAGCTTATATTATTTACAAATTGAATTATTCAACACCTGTGAACGAAATGGAAAATGAAACAATAGTGGATGTACTATAAAATTTTTCATATGCGTCATTCAATTAGCATTTTCATTTTCTGCCAAGGGGAAAACAACATGATGGGAAACAGATTTGATTGGAAATTTCACTGATTTCTTAATCAAAATTTGGTGAGAATTTATTGTAAATTGGTGTGAAATTTTCTGTCAAGTTGTTTTCTCCTTGTCTTTTTCAATACTCAATTGTTGTTTCGTTTTCACTTCCACCTTATTAAGCTCTCTTTTGAAAATTTTATGCAAATTTGAAGACGCATCTCACTTGAAGCATTTCATATTGCTGTAGAATAATTTTACGGTTGTGTATTTCATGCAATAAGACCTTGAATTAATGTTTTTATTTTGATAATTTTGGGGGTTCCATCACTTATGATGTCTTTCATCTATAAGAGCGTAGCTAAATTTGAAAAATTTCAATCTTCGCTCCCAAATTTTCAAAATATTCTGAATCTGTTCAAGATAAGCTCATTTCAATTACAAAAATTCCATAGACGTCATTTTTAAACAACCCTTCTTGACAATTTACTCGAATCTGACCTTAACTTTATGTAGGGCTCGACAATAAGAACTAGTTTTTTCATGTACAAGCCTTTCTTTTTTATTATCTTCATTTCTGCATTCTCTGGACCTTTCAATGGCAATGACTTTTTTGTTTCAGCATCGTCATACGTGATGCAATGAAGGTGCACATGAATCTTGATATTATAAAATATTTAAACGAATTAAAAATTTATGGGGCGACGAATTATTTTAAAATGTAATGAAATTGACGAAAAATGTCAAAAATTACTGCATGCATTTCAGCACTGCTATCTTTTTTTATGACATAATTCACTCGAAAAATTATTTGGGGTTATTTATTTGTTTTCAGTATCTTGTAATCAATTTATGGTAGCAAATGTAGCCAAACCATTTTTCTTCCATGATTCATGTTTTGTCATGTTAACCTTTTGAATATTAATTTTACCGGTTTCGCTCAAGATCATCACCCGATTTGTATTGATTTTGGAGATGTAATAAATTAAAAATAAAGTTTTGGATAAGATTTAATCACGGTGTGGGTTTTGAAGTATCATATTACAGCATATGGTTCAATTCTTTGGCTGATGATTCGGAATTGTATTAAATAAATGCAATATTTACATCAATGAGAATCAAAGGCATCACCAGAACATAGTTTCCCTGAAATTCGTACCCACAATTGCTACAAAAATACTTCATGAGTAATTAGCCGCAGCACAAACAAGCAACATAATCATATTCTGAGAATTCAGGGAATTTTAAATATTTTAAGGTCATAAATAACTAGCCATTCCTGCTCAAAGCATTCATTGCACTACATAATCAATCCACAATCGATTTATACATCAATTCCAATAAGTAAGAGTACATTGGCACACCGAATAATATAAAAAAAATTAATGATGACGTGAATTGACCACATCAAATTATGTCGAATGCTTTATTATCCTCATAAATTAACCCATCCTTCAGAACTTCCATTAGAGTTAATATTAAATAATAAAAATTTCGTATCGCGTGAGCAAATTGTTGTCAGTGCAAACTGTATCGGCAATAATGGTTTGAGTGCAAATATTAAAAGAGTAAAGACTTTATTGACATTTTTTGAGAGGCAAGTTGTTGTAATTTGAATTTGTGAGCATGGATATAAATATAGAGACATTATAGATTTTTCACATTGAGAATTTTCGAATATACTTGACCAAGAGTTCATAGTTCAACTTAAAAGCACTTAAATATATTTTGTAAATTATGCAGACTTTTTGAATTTTTTGATTGACATGCTAATTCCGATTGTTCTTAATAACTAGCATCCTTAGTAGGAGTAATAACAAAATATCAAAGTGTGCTCATTGACGTAATAAGAATCTGTTAATACAAGCATCGTAGAATAAGCCAGAATGCATTCCTTGTTCAGAACTTAACGATGAAGAATAAAATAAAGCTAAAGACTACTTAAAGCAACAAGAATTAAAGTTCAAAGCAAGTGGTCTTAAATCTCCGATTTGATCAAAATCTACTAAGTATGTAAATGAAGTTACTAATTTTCGACTAGGAAGAACTTAACTTCAATGACTTTGTTGAAGAAAAAAATCAATCATTTAAATTAAAACGTGACGCCCTTGCAATGCTTAAGCATGGTTTAGAATCAATTTCACACTTAAATAGTTTCCAAAATCTAACCAGAAATTTCACTAAATGAAATGGAATCCCCGCTTGGATGATAATTAACACATCCGAAATTAGCCAGAATTGGACAATATGTGCGAATTATTTCAACAAACTAAAGTGTTGATGTTATGCAATGAGAATAGAAGATTAAAAGTTATTTTTACTTCCATAAAAAATAGAATTTTTTCTTCAAACAAAAAAGATTGGGAATTTAAAGATCATAAATTATTCTTATTCTTCTCATTCTCTTAACAACATCCAGATATATAAAAGAGTTTTTTTGTGTCTTACTCATTCCTTTTTAGTCGCCAGTCACGATTTTTTTTAACGATTCTTGAATTTTGTGGTCAAAAAACCAATAATTTGGGATCACGTGTATGGAAAGTTTGATCACAATTCTCGGTTCCTGTTTTTCCAGATTTAAGAATCTCTGTGATTGGCTGAAATAATGAAATTCTGATGAAAATAAATGTTCTTGGAGTTTATATTAGGGTTACTGTATTTTTGAATGGTCATTAAGAATGACATAATAATCAATTTCTAGATGCTACATTATTTTTAAAAAAATCGAACATCAAAACTCGCACAAGCACTAGAATTGGTTAAAAACTGACTAATGCTCATCTTTAAAATTGTGATGAAAACTTTTCGCACAGTCATTCAATGTGAATTTCCAATTAGCAACATTTTATTTTTACTAGATGAAGGGCTTTCTATTCAGTTTCTGAGTTATTCCACGTGTTCAATTCCCTGAATGTTTAACCCAGCACATGGCTTTGATTGACTTGAATTGATCTCTGAAAAAATCCCCAAAATAAATTGTTTACTAGTTTTTAAGAAACTAAAATCCACAGCTTCAAAATAATCAAGTAAAGCACCAATTTGCACTTATTGAGTAGCTTTTCGAGCTCAGTTACATGAAAATTAATTTTTAATTTTGCATGATTATCATGAATTTGAAATTTAATTACTTACATTTAGCATATGCACAAGGTCATCATGAGTATGAATGCGATTTCCCTGTTTATATTTTATTACATGTACAATATAATGATCATCGGTTTATATTACAAACCATTAAAAATATTGTCAGTAGGTCACAACTCGCGCGCTGCCTAAGTGTGCATAAGATTCAATTATAAAAATAGATTTATTTAGCTTTAGGTTACTTCAATCCCATTAAATCTAGTTAAATCTCATCAACTGCATTCCTTTAATTTCGAGCACAAGGCACCAAAAGAATAACAAACAAAAAACCAGTTTCACAATCATATAGAGTCGTTACACTTGAAGGTGTTCATGATTAATTGAAGCATTTAAGCCTCAATATTAATTTAATCTTGAAAAGAAAAACTGCATCGTGCATTCCAACTTATAAAATCAAGTACCTATCTCACTGTTTACGATACAGTCCCACATTTTTAATACCACAAAGAAGCGAAAAAATGGCTCGTTGATCGAACAAGAAAAAAATCACTGCAACAACATTTAAATCTTAAAATACTTATCGACCTTATAAGTCCGATTATGTAACAGATCCTCTCTCTCTTGTTCATTTCATATATTTATTTTGCAGATGTTTGTGCTTATCATACGTAAATAATATGAATAATCACATAAAAATATATATATATATATATGCTGAGCATGCTGCGAGAAGCAACACAGGAAAGTAAAGAAGAAAAAAAATCAACTTTTTCACGTTCAAGGTTACAACAATAATTGCTGTATAGCCGTAAGTTGAATAAACTTTCAATATAAACTGTGTGAAATCGAGTGGCTGCTTACTCGGTCAGTAGCGTAAATGCAACCTCATTGAATGTTAAATAAGAACTGCACTCAACTAGATATTCTGTAACTCAACATAGGTGCGTACGTGTGTTTTATAGCACTCGATGAAATCGAAAGGTAAACTCACTTTTCTTGTTTATTTCCTTACAACTAGAATTCCTTATATACACTGGCATTTTCAGATCATTCAAGGAGAATTCAGTACAAACATAAAATTGCACGCTTCTGATCCTCTTCTGTGGTCTTTTGCTATGAAAATATTTGCGAAATAACTTTTGAATATATAAAATTGATACATGAAATTCGATGAATTCCTAATGAGATGAGCAAATATTGAACGTTATGTTGACCAAGCTAATTTCACAATCGATTTATGGACTTAAAAAACTACTTGTGATTCACTGGATGTCATGGACTGTCGCCAAAATCTTTTTTTGCAAATTATTTTGAATAAATTCGATTTGGTATAGTTTTGAATATTTTATGGTTAGTTTGACGAAAGAGTGATTTGGACACAGGATAGTATTTTAGGTAAAGTTTTTCGCTTATAGGGTGATTTAAGAGACCTAGCTAACCCTTCTTATCCATCCAACATCGAAGAGTAGACAAAACAACATCAAATGAGATACACAGCTCTCAAAATTAAATTTATTGATATTCATTACTTGTAAACAACTCGCAATTCGCAATTTAACACAATATAGCTCAAGGTGCGGGTAATATACAGAAGATATGATCATTTGCAAAGAGCAACAAAGCTATTTCCTATTTGTAAATTATTCTGATTCTTGTAATTGGATATTTATAGCACTAGACAATGTTTTGAAGAATTTCGTTAATTGAGACTTGCCAAAAATGGATGGAGAACTTGATACACGTGCTATTCATCTGTGCAAATCGTCAAAAATAGATTCAGTCATGTCAGTCAACTATTTACTTCCTAATATTGAGGAGAATTGTTTAATTTAATATATTCAAAATGAATTCATTCAGTTCTACCGTAAAGGAATTGAATTGCTTATTTGCTTCTAGATCGATAGCAAAACTATACTGTTTGGTAACATTTTGGTGATGCTATCTTTAAATCTTGAATTTCAGGATTTTTCGTTCTCAAAAAATGCATTTTAATGAATTTTAAAATCCATTAGAGTTTATATTAAGTTTCCTGTTTTTTTTTTAATTTAAAAGTCCATAAGACAGAATTTCGGAGAAATTTTTGAATGCCAACCATTGTAAATTTATTAAAGATTATGAAAAACCCGGAATCAGAGGTTTAAATTTTGGTTGTAATAATTTTGCATATAAATTTCGGAATTTTTTTCTCGCTTAATAAATTTAAATTTTTATTAAATTTTAAAATTTTGTAAGGTTTTTTCTTGGAATTAAACAATTTTTTTAATCAACAATTACATGAAAAAACTATTGAAACCGAAATTATCTTATTCTCAAGATCAATAGATCGAGTTAAAGCAAAATCATGAACCTACTTCCACTAAATATCTCAATTAATGTTAACGCGTAGTAATCAACTTTATAAATCTCATATAAATATTAACAGAAACAATCCACCGCGACATAGAAAACGATGAAAAAAAATGCAACAAGTTTAGTGTTGCACAACTCAAACTTGACATTGTTTTTACGAGATTGCGAATTTGATGATATTAGTTGTTTAAATTCCTTAAAAATGCAAGCACATGTGAGGATGAGCATTATGAACATTTTATTATTCTTTGCACGTACATTTTTATTGACTTACTCATCTTCGAGTTAAGTGTTGCTAGCTGAATTTAAGGATGTTAATATTTACCGAAACTGTTGCAATAGATTTTAAAATCAGTTCTTATTAATATTTTTAAGAATTTAATGTAAATCAAAAAAGATTTTTTGGGCAAAAACTTTAGAAATGAGATTTTCGATAGAGACAATATTGAATTTGATTTCTGAAACTAACGGTCTAAGGTAGAGCTAGTTTCATGCGGCAACTAAAGGAGGCCAAACAAGATTGATCTGTAAAGCTACGCAAAATATGCAAGAACTTTCGAAGTTGACTCAGATTTTACCAAAGTTTATTTGTTTTCTGACAACCTAAAGAATTGTTATGTGCAGGGAGTATCTCAAATATTCTCAAAAGTACAGTTCAACCAGCAAATATGAGATTCTGAATAGATTAATTTGAATTTTAATTTTAATTCAACCAAAATAAGTTCATGTCCATAATTAACTCTATCACTTTAAAATTAAATCATTTTTAAATTTCAAACAATTTGCACTAATAGCATTTGCAATAAAAGAATTCATCATTACTAATAATCATCACGTTTCTTGGATATTTTTTTTTCTGCTTTAAATGGTTTCCCTTTCATTACAATTCGAGTGAAACGTTTGTGCATAATGGAACAACATTAATTTGTAGGTTACTAAACTAATAGCAACTGAATTAATTAAGACACATAAGGCACAATGTGTCGAGGCAATAAAAGGCAGATTGAAAGTGAAAACAATTGAGTAATTCAAAAAGAAAGAGAAAAAAATGCAATTATCAATAATAATTTGTATCCAATAATCGCTTTATACACCACACATTATGCAATATGACAATTTCACAATATAATAATTATTTATATTTTTTCTTTCTTCTGCAAATCTTCACTGCAATTTTTAAAAATGCTGTCTCAGTCCCATATGCAGTTCCAATTCACTTCATTAATGATAATTGTAATGGATGTTATACAAAAAGAATTACACGATCTCATTTCCTTTCCGTGAATATTTTTAAACTTTATTTTATTATTTTTATCACATTGCATAAAAGCTGCATAAAACTTAATTAAATTGATTCCACTCACATCCAAAATTATCTTTTTTTATTCACTTTAAATTATTTTTTTGTGTCTTAATTTTTTCGATCTTAACACGGCTATGGTCAACGATCAACTGAGAATATATCGCTTAAGCCGTAAGCATATGGCTGTGCTAAAATGTATCTCTTTGTCACGTAGACCATCGCTCTTTTTTCTCTTGTAGCTTGGTGTTATCATAATTTGCTAGTGTGTCGTGTGTTGTGTCAGGTCAGGAAATTCATTAGCACTTAACTCCTCACTTTTTTAACATGCGAAGAGAAGTTAAATAATTTATTTGTTCGAAGAAAGGTCATGACAAATATGATCAAACATATTTATACATTGTCATGCTGTTCCATATTCCATTACATTCCATTTGACGTCAATCTAAGCGCCACTCTCGATTACATAGGTTAATGAACTGAGAGCTTTTTTGACATCATTATTAATTTTTATGTCTCTTATGATTATTTATTCACCTCTCACTGTCTGTCTGAGTGGCTTAGTGCATACAATTACTTGATGACCTCAGCTTTTGATCAGAAGGTGTTTATTGAAAAATCACTACAGCATTAATTATACCGAGAAGTTGTAGTTTTCATGGCGAAAAGCAGAGGAAGTAAGTGGAAAATTCACTTCAATTAGCATAAGAAAAACATTTGTTGTTTTGTCTTTGCAACTGCTTTTGTATTACATCTTTCTCAAGTACATTAAATAAACACTCTTGTTTTTGTAAGACATATGATTTGTGGACGGTGAAATTAATCAGGTCGGTTGATGAACATGTGTTTTCAAATGTGAACAATTAAAGCTATTTTAAAGGGAATTAAGCTTAATTTAACTGAGGGCCAATTTATCAGTTTACAGTTACTCATAACTTCAATATAGAGCAATTCTTTGAGACAGTGGTTGGCAACCAGATAAGAGTAGATCTAAGTCAATTTATTTATATATTTTTGAAATTTCAACCTTATTAAACATCAATTAATTTAATTAATTTCCAATATCCCACATCCTTCAGTCGAAAGAATCAAAATAAGCAGTGAAAAATGCCAATAACTATTGAACTACCATCAGATAAATTAAACTAAATACAGAATAACCTCAAATTGTTGAAAATATTCAGTCAAGAAAATGAACTCTATCTCGTCATCAAGTTTAATGCCACTGAATTCTGATGAATCACTTACGGGGCCGTTCACTTATGACGTCAGACATTTAGGAGAGGGGGGGGGGGGGGGGGGAGGGGGTCTAGGATTTTGTGACAATTCAAACAATGGAAATTTTTTTCATTAGAATTTTTGTGACAGAGGGGGGAGGGGGAACTAATCAGGTTTTTTGATGGACATCATAAGTGAACGACCCTAATACTATTTTGATGAAAATGCTGAATCTATATTGAAGGACTTCTATAACGCGTGATTGATTTTTAAACTGAAAACTCAAATAGCAGTGCTTGGCTTAATACTAATTGATGATCATGAATTTTAAAGACAGAATAATTCAAATAAATTTTTTCTTTAATGCCAATCAGCAGAATTTTATTAACTTTATTCTTTAAAAAAGTTTCAGATCAAAACAAAAATTTAATGACTTATTTAATACTTTATATCTTTAATTACATTAGCTTGGTAGTGAACAGTAGTGTGGGAAAAACAGAATATTTCCTTAGTCTTATTTTTAACAAACATTTTAATGATTCTGTCATGAGATTAGAAGATATATTAACAATATTATTTAAGACCGTTCTTAATAAGTCTCTGTCATGTCTTAAATGTTTTAAAATTAGAAGTAGCTTGCGACCTTGGAAGCATTCCGGTAAAATTTGCATGAGTCATTGACTTTGAAAATAAGCATCATGTAATGAATTATTTTTGAGAATTTACTGGAATCTTTCATGTGAATTGCTGAAGTCCGCATTTTACAGGTTTATGAAGCTATTAAATATGTTTTGGAGTCGTTGGAATGATATGTAAATCTATGTGTTCTTAAAACCAAGAAAATGATGTCAGCGAATCTTGAGTTTGGAACAAACTTCTACAATATATAGCTTTACAAAAACCTAGTTTTGACTCAGTTTAATTAAAAAATAATCCAGAATCCTATTTATAAAGTCGATGACATAATAATCATAAAAATTAGACCCATTCGTCTAACAAGAATAGTAATTTAATTAGATCTTATTCATTCTTGTTTGCACGACTAAGTCCTTTATAGCAATGTTAAATCACTTACATATCATTTAAAAAATCATTTCCTGTAATTTGTTTTCGCGATTCATCTTATTTTAATTTTTCACTCTTGCATTAATTTTCATAAGAATCACTCACAAGTCGCGCACATGGCAAACTCCTGCTACTTCACACATTTTTCTCAAAGTCATAAGTCATGACAAACGTGAATGATAATTTTATAGCACATTGATTCAATTGTATGTTGGTACAAAATGGATTTTTCTCTGAGAAAGTTCTTTTTGTTAATTAAAGTGAGTTTATAAGCATATCCTTAACTTATATTTCATAGAAACTTAATTTGATGTTGTTTTAAAGATTCTCATCAACTAGTCTAGCTGATTTAAGTAAGGTTCACTTGTGTAGTTGTGGTATCGGATCATAGTAGAAGCTGGGATGTCAAACTATATCTAGTCAGTTAAAGAGTAAAACCTCTGGTGGAAAGAGACAAGAAATTTATTCCATTTGATTTATGAAAGCGTTGGTTTGACTCCCGATTGGAGCGTCATTGTTACATAGTACATGACATCATATTTATTATCAGTAACTAGCTCAAAATCAAAACGAATGTGTATCAAGTCCACTTTAAGCTCTGATTATTAGAGCTATCATAGTCATGGTAGAAGTGGAAACCAGCCACAGAGTAGATTAGTCGTGACTATAGTCATCCCTAAATCTAGATAATCTCAAATAAAACGGTCTAGAAAATGAGTCAATTATAGCAAATTATTGTGAAATTCAGTCTTCAGCATGCCAATTTCTGTGAATTCGATGTAAAAATATATATTAAAATGTTTAATTAAAGTTCTAACAATTATCAAGAAAACCGGGGGACAAAAATGAACATTGCAACAAAAAAAATTTCATAACATCCTTAAAAATAATTTTAATGATCCAACTTAGGTTACCAGTTGAGCACCATTGAGTTACTTCCAATTAACGATCTTTTGACAATACTTAACATTTTTAAAAACTTTTCAAAACAATCTATGATTCATACTTAATGATGAGTTCTATTTAAAAAAAAATTAAGAACATGCTAAGAAACTCACACTTAATCTAAACTAGCATAACAAGCTAGTAGAAATGCAGATAACTGACACTATGTAAAAATCATGTCTCATAAAATGGTATAAAAAGTTTTTTTTAACATTACAACATTGTACAAAAATTTATTGCGCTTAAATATTCACTTTTGACCTCGTTGCCTCATTTTTATTCATATTAATAATTTCAATTGTTCCTTAATCGATTGATTTTCAGGATTTTCCATAATGGAATCGACAAAATTTTTCGTTTCCATTTGCAGCTCTCGAAGTCTCATCTGAAATTCTTGATTCTTTTTGATTAGCTTAAATGTTGACACTGCGACATCGAACAGATGTCTTGTATTAGCATTGCTAATTTTCATTGTGGATGTAATCTTTTTAACCATATCATCTAGATGTGTCGTACTCGATGATACTTTTGAATCATCGATGGAAATCGTGTAGTCACGTTTGCATATGATATTTTGTACATTACAGCTTGTGTCGGAGCTGCTAATTACACATCTTTCCTCGTACTTACTTAGCGGAGCATATCTATCGACAATAAAGAATCTTTTATAAATACAAAGAATTTAATTTAATTAAAAAACTCCAATAAATTACCTGTGAGAATATTTATGCTTCTTTTTGTTTGAATTGATTGCTATCAGCTCAGTGTCAGTTCCGTAGTCGTCAGAATTTAATGATAATGAAGATGATAAAGAAGATATCACTGTATCTTCGTCAATTGCTTTCCGGTGCCTTTTATTATTCACTGATGATTCATCACATGATAATTTACGTTTAGCACATTTCTGCTCCATACTTTGATCTATATAATGTACAAATAACAAACAATTTGTTAATTAAATCAGAAATGATAATAATGTTCATACATGTGAGTTGATTCACATTGAGGCACATTCAAGTATCAAATGTTTTTTTTTTCGAATTGAATTGGAATTTTTGTAGGAGTTGTTTTGTCTGGATGAATTGTTACATATGTCAATGTCAACATTTGGACTTACATCCATAAATGGATGAATCTGATAAATTCTTCGGGTTTTGTTGAGAAAGACAAGTATTATCTTCGATCAGATTCCAAGGGTGTGGTACTGATGAAGTGATCAAAAATGATCAAAAAATGATCAAAAAATTTATGAAAAATGATCAAAATGGATCAAAAATGATCAAAATTGATCGAAAATGATCAAAATTGATCAAAAATGATCAAAATTGTTAAAAAATGATCAAAATTGATCAAAAATTATTAAAATGTAATTCTTCAGTTCCACACCCTTGTCAGTTTCCCAATTCATTAAAATTGCCTTTACTTAAAGACTTAATTATGCAATGCTTCCTGATTTGAGAATGTTCAGACTAGACTAATCTTAATCTCAACTAGTCATTCCTCTCGATAAACTTTTGAATTCCAAACAAAACAGAAAAACCCGAAACTCACCTTAAAAAAGAGTGTAATGTAGACCACTAGTTTATATCCAATTAATAATTTAATCTATATTTTAAAAGCTTAACTAAAATCAAGCTAGTCAATTCTCTAAACCTTATAAGTTCTCGACTGTAGTTCAACAAAATCTAAAATCAACTAAAGTTCTTTATTTTATTCTTTTCTAAAGTTCACTGTTTTATTTTCGACTTTCAAAAGCACATCCTTTACTGCCAACGTTCTTATTCTCAATGAGCATTTCCCGTCAGTAAAAAAACAATCAACACAGTCAACTCATTCATTCAGTTTTCTTTTCTTTTTATTTATAACTCAACGACACTTTTCTAGTACGTGGGATTGCCATGCTTAACATAAATCAGCTAGACATGGTAAACCACGTGACAGAAGCTTTGTATCGTTTGAACTGCAGTTCAAATGTCAATCTAATCTCGGGTACTTTCCATTCATGTGTCATTCAAAAAAAAACGCTTTAATAAGCCACAACTGTTGCATTTGTTTTACATGCGGAACAATAAATTTCTTATGAATGCATTCACAATGCATTGTTGTTGCGGGAAATAGAAGCACATGTTTTCAAGTTCAATAGCACGGTTTGATATGATTGTATTAAAATTATAAACGATATTATTGTGAAAATATTCATTCTCAATTATTAGCAACTCTCAATTTTTCTTTGAGAACTAATATTACTCATGCTTGAATCTTTAAACTTCATGCGTTAAAAAACGTGATTTTGAATTTTGAATCATTAATAAAACAAAATAATGAAAATGTAATGATTTGGGGTAATTCTAGCACATTGCAATGTTGTAAGTTGTGAATGTGATTCTTCTTTGATGGAACGAAACATGCTATAAGGGATGTGGTTGTTTACTTATGATGATTATAACCCTGCTCCCCCTCCCATTCTCTGAGTTTTACTCTAAACTCACGAAATTTTGAAAACTTATTTGAAGAGTTTGACCCAAAAATTCAAATATTCCCACAAACATCATTTACGAACTTCCCTCTAAGTAATGTTGAGGATTTGAAAAATAATCCAACAAGCCGTCGTCGTGTACATCGGCTCACGTTGTTAAATTATAGGTAAGCAATATAAAGAAGCATTGCCCTGATCATATTTCACTGTCCAATGTGCAAACACGTGGTTTGTTAAGTATTCTAGTTAAATGTGATGTATGAAAGGGGCAACATTTGCATTTTTGCTGCTGTTCATGCTTTTGTAATTTTCTTTGTTCTTATTCAATTATGATTCATTAAACTCTATTGCTCTTCGAAATTAATTTACAGCTTCTTTTTTGATTTAAATTTTAATAAGCTTAGGGGTCGTTCACTTATAACGTCCAGGGGGGGGGGGGGGTAAGCAAGAAAAAACAATATAAATTCCTGGAAATCAATTGTTCTTTTTTGAAAAATGACCGTTATTTTCGGACGTTATAAGTGAACGATCCCTTGCTTATTATTTTATAATTTCATTATCAATTATTAATTTTGATTCCTCATTAAAAGCTTGACTTTTATAATTTTTTTTATGCAGAGCTTTTACTCTTCTCCTCTTAATAACAGCCAGAGGGGGGGGGGGGGGGGGCTGTAAAGTCATTTCAGTAAGTAATTGTAGAAAAGTCATTGCTCCTAAATTGAAATTTCATTAAAAAAAGATCAAGACATCTCATCCCATTCCATCTATCAACGCATTTAAATGACACATTTTAATAGAAATGAATTCCAACAGTTCCTTAATATTCAACATTTGATATCATCAACGCACATGTTTCCGTTAAACAAAAAATAATATTCAACCCTACCTTTTGGTTCCTTTCTCTCATCTTCCATTTTTATCATCACATTGTGATTCAGTTCTTTATTATTATTGTTATTATTTTCACACATCTCATCACTTTCCAATGTGGTATGATCGTCATGGCAAATTGTTGGGGACATTTTTTGTTATCGTCTTATATGCTTTAATAAAAGATTGTAATAAAATTTTCACTTCTCGCACTTCTTATCACTGTAAAGACTAAAATGAAACTGATTTCAAAATAATTCTCAATTTGTCTCTAAAACGTTTAATTTTACGCTCACGTGGAAAGGCATACATTGGGTACAAAAATTTATTTCAGACAGTTGGCTATGTGCATATCGTAGTTTGTCTAGGTACGGAAGTATATGTCACGTGTCGCTCATTCTTATTCCTTATTATGTAAATTTGATCTTATATTTCATGCGGTTCCTAGAATTCACAGCAGATGATGGTTTATCTACCTAATTATTCAATTTCTTCATTATTTTTTTGAGATTCCTTGAATAACTATTTTGTTCTCATAAATGCAATAAAAACTCATAAGTATTAAAGAATGTTAATTAATATACTCGCGAAAGTTCCTCATAAAAGAGCTAGGTATGAGAAATCCGTTACCTTTTAATTTTAACAGTTTCTTAAAATTTGAATTTTGAAAAACTTTTAAAAGAATAGTTGCTGACCCCTAGGATCTTAACGTATTTTTTAATATTCAAAAAACAGCGTAAACTGTAATTTAATAATGAATTAATTGCTAAAAAGTGAAATTATAGTGTTATTAAGGCTTTTTAATTATATTTTTATAATAATACAGTGAAAACATGTCACGAAAAACACGGTAAGAATTTAATAAAAACAATTTCCCGCTTAATTTGTTGATAATTCAATTTGTTTCTATAAATCCAGAACCGATTATAATAATATCTTCGACAATGGCTTGGATAACATGTCTGATCTTGTCTATGCGTTTACAAAGAAGAACAAACGAGTACATAGAATATTTGACGACGATGATGACGATGAACAGATTAATGTAAGTAAAATAATGCTTAAAAATTTGTTACTCAAATTTGACTGTATCTTTATCTGTTATCTTTCAGGAAAAGTCGTATGGCTTGAGATTAGTTTCAGTACATGAGAATGAGGCAACAACGAGTAAAGCAACTAGTGATAAAGAAAATGGAAGTCAAGAATCTAATAAAAAAAGCATCACAAATGTTAGACCCTTATCTCCAGTTCAAATTATTGAAGCACCGCCTGAACAAATCTTGGAATCTCGTAGTCCTTTCAAGCATCCATCACAGCTTTCAAATCGTCAGAATATCAGCTTGCGTAGATCATTATTCTCACAGCCTAAGAACAAAAATAATGATCTTATATGTTCAACTCCAAGTACTCGAAATCAAGGTACAGTCAATGACTTTTTTGGAGCATCTAGTAGTAGAATTGAAAGTTTATCGCCAATCCGAAAGGGATTATCAAATACAGTTATATCCATTGATGATTTAAAAGACATTGAATTAATTCCTTCTGAAGATATTAACAATAAGAATGGTCAAAATAGGGTAATAGTTCAGTCACTCCACAATATTGAAAAGGATTTAAGAGAACAGTTTCAAATTGATCAAGGAACACCTAAGAAAACGTACTCAAAATCACTTGCTGGTGATAATTCACGACGTGTCAGTAGCGAAAGAAAAAATCATGAATCGCCTTCACGTCATTCATTTCGCAGCGAGCCAATTACACGCTCACAACCGACTACTCAAAATTTTAGTGTTATTTTAGAGCCAATGGAAATTAGCAAGGATGCTGTTTCTATGTACAGAAAAACACAATTAAGTAGACTAAGTACAAGTAATCGCACAAATGTAAATACTTTTAATATGATTGAAACTCCAATTGCACGACAAGCTAAGCATCCGGTGATTAATGATAGTTTGCTAACAAAGAAATTGGCATTATGTGAAAGTGATTCAGAAATAACAGACGATGAAAGTGAGCATGCAGAAATATTAAGACAATCAGCTAAACAAAGTCAGAAGCAAAAGACTGTCGAAACAAATGAGCATTTAACAAATGATGAGAGTGATAAGACAGTTGAATCTCCAAAGCGTCGTAAAATTAGCCAGAATATAAGTTCTACTCCAAAAAAGGCACCTTTACGACGTCCATCACATAAATCTGCATCTACAAGACAAGATCCAGTTGAAGTACAGAACAATATTACAAATGATGATAGTGATGAAGAGAATCAACAATTTGAACTAGTTGAAGTTAACAATTCTAAAATCATCCAGGAAATAGTAACAACTCCAAAAAATCGTCCATCAAGAAGACCATCTTCAATAGCTGTAAGTCAGAAATCCATCAGAATTGACGAAGAAGCAAGAAAGTTTAAACTATCAGGTCAAAAATCAAAAAAAACTGAACAAGAAGTGCATAAAGATTCATCTAAAAGCAGTGATGATGATCGTCATACTAGAAATAGTCAGCAAGTGAATGCAAGTCCAAAAAAGTTGCCACCCAAAGCTAAAAAAATCGTCCATGAACCTCAAAACAATTCAGCAAGTGAGAGCGAGGATGAACGAACAGCTAAAAAGGATAAGAACCACAAGAAAAATGTTATTGAGCCAAAAAAGAAAGGACCTGAAAGGAAGAATACAACAGAAGAAAGTGAAGATATGGTCATGTCCGAAAGTGAGCCTGAAACAAATAAAAAGGAACATGCATCGACTAAAACAAGTAAGCAAATGAGCATATCCGATAACATCAGGAGAGGTCGTAAGTCCTCTAAAAGCACAAAGCAAATGATTTTGTCAGAATTTAAAGATGAAAGCACTCAACTGGAATCTCGTAAATCCAATAGAAATACTGAGCAAATGAGCATGTCTGAAGAGGAATCAGAACTGAAAATTGATCCAAAAGAAAATCGCAAATCTAAAAGAAATAAGAAGCACAAACAGTCTTTGGAAGTAGATTTAACTGTACATGATGAGAATAGTGATAAAGAATTGACAGGCAATGAACAAGAGTCGCAGGAATCTGAGGATGAAACTCCACTTAAAGTACAAAATGCTGCAAAGAAAGGTGACAAAAAATCTCAAAAAGGCAATAAAAAGCAAGTAAGTGAAAGTGAAGGATCAGAAACTCAATACAGCGATGTGTCATTAAGCAATTATACAGCTCTTGTAAAACCCAAACCTAAAACCCCAATAAAATCAAAGAAATCAGGTGCTAATGTCAAACCTGATCCACCAAAAAATAAGAAGTCTGTAAGTGAAAATAGTGGAAGTGATGAAGAGCCTTTAAATCAAGCTGAAGAACCACAATTTAAAAAGCCTGGATTTTTCAAGAAATCAATTCGAGACACGATTTTATGCAATTTGTCAAATACCTCAGCTGGATCTTTAGTTCCAACAGAAATAATTGAATCATTCCGTACACTCCAAAAGCCTGGGAATAATACAACATCAATAGTTCCAGAATCATCAAAATTGGCAGTATCAAAACGCACAAAGCAACGAAATGCCAATCCTAATAAAGATAAAATCGCCAAATATCTTCAACTCGAAAAAAACGTCAAGCATAAAAAGACCAAAAATGATGCAGCCAAGAGTCGTAAAAGAACTCTTTATAATCAAGCATCAGATCATGAAGATACAGTTAGTTCAGCATCTACAGAAAAAGTTCCAGATATTGATCCGATTGATCGTGAACTTACAGAAGAACTTAGTGCTGTTCGTCGATCGATTGATACAATGTCAAATGCCAGTAGTCAGCCATTTAATGCTACAATTCCTACACAAGATCATTATAGTGAAAGTGAGGAGGATGAAGCTCCAATAAAGAAAGGAAAGCATTCAGAAAATCAAAAAGGTGTAGACGAAAGTGATCAAGAGATGGAAGATGTTCAGCAAGCAACAAAAAGTCGTGAACGGTCTAAGAGAAATAAAGAACCTGTGAATGACACAAATACAGTCAATAATAATCAGGATGTAGAAGAAGAAGGAATAAAAACTCGAGGACGGTCCAAGAAAAATAAATTTCAAAAAGTACAGGCTAAGAAACAACAAACTACAGCTACAGAAGAGGTCCCAGAAGATGATTCGCGACAACAAGCTTCAAAAGTTGTCAAAAAGCCAAGAATGGCAAGGGAATTAAAGCATTTAATAATAAAACCAGCTAGTAAGAGACAGAATAACGCTAAAGACGACACTGAGCCACCAATTAAAACTCGCAGACGAGCAGCAAGCAACACAAGTGAAGACAATACCAGTGAAACATCTAAAAATACAGATGAAGGATTTCAGTCAAATGATGAATATGATGACGTTTGGTATGATCCAATGGATAGAGGATGTCAACGTACAGGACTTCGTGTACGTAAATTTACCAAGTCAAGAGATGGCAGATTTGCAATTCAGTACGGTGTATTTACAAAGAATGATTCAAAGGCTATTCAGTTACAAAAGCAGTACAATATTAAGGAATCGGAAGTACATGAGCCAACTTTAGCTCCATATATACAGCCTGGCAATCGATTGGAATTAGTCAAGTCTTTAATAATGGAAAAGAAGCTTCAAAAAAAAGGTCCACCAAAAAAGAAGGAAGTAAAGGCAAATGTTGAGAAAGTAAATGATGGGGCATCGACAAGTCACCAGGCAATGGATGTAGATTCTATGGCGTCTTTTGCAACAGCACGTACAAATGAGACACAATCGGGTGTCGTTACTAGACTTTTGGACAGCTTTAATCGAATTAAGGATGATAATACAAATCCGATCAGTGTTATGGAAACTGCTACTTATGGTGAGTTTCTTAATATTGTTTATTAAATGGATAGCATTATTAATTGGATTTTGATGTGCCTTTTAGCTATATCACAGATCAACAGGCTTATATGGCATCCAATTGGTGCTGGCGTTTTCTACAGTTCATTCAAAGAAAACAGTTTCGATGGATTCTTGAAGATTGTTAAAGGTGGATATAAAAAAGGAGCAAAAACAAAACTTGCTGTTGTGGTAAGTTATGACTGCAAACGTCACTAAAGATTTAAATTTATTACTGAAATAACGGTTCAAAATTATTTGAAATTTAACGGATAACAAAGTTCAAAATTTAATCTTGAGTTTAAAAGTTAAATCCTAAGGCTTAAAAATTAATCCACGGATTAATAATGTAATTTAATTTTGTAGCTGTCTGTAATTTAATCCTTATCAAACCTCTTCTCTATCCAACAGAAAATGACACTTTTGTGTGGAGTTGTGGACATCAAAATCAATGACACCAAATTGCGAATCGAGAATTTAGGATTTATAACAATTACTCGAGGGCAATCATATAGAATTATGAATGCGTCAGACGAGACAGCCATAATTCTGATGACTAGACTAGATGATGAGGAAACGACAAGTCCGAATCAAAATTCTTCGTAACTATAAAATTTACTTCTGTCTATAAATTATTGTTATATAAGGTGTCATGACCTGCATTTATGTTGATCACTTGATGTTGCATATTGTTTGGCTTTCTGTTAAGTATTAATGTTCACGTAGAGTCTTGGATTTAGAGATTTATGAGTAGCCATAAAATCTAGCAAGTCTGAAAATATTAAGGATCTATAAAGGAACCGATTATGTTGATTTACTTTGAAAGAAATTTTATTTTATTTTATTTTTTTACTAATAATTTTTTGGAGCTTGAATAAAATTTTTTTGGAAGTAACCAAAAACCCAAAATTACTAAAATGATGTAACAAACAAAAGAAAACGAGTTAATTAGCCTTCTTTAAATGGATTCCATTTGTGGCTGGTTGTACTGGATTATAAGCAAATTTACTGATGATTGTGTACACTTTTGGGAAGTGTAGGACAATGAAATAAATTGAAAATAGATAACATCCAATGAGTGATGTTAAAAAGAGATCAAAAACGGCTGGCTTGACATTATAGACATTCAATTTTGCTTCCTCGCCGTCATAAAAGACAAAGTCTGGATCACGGTCAGTGCTTATGTCATAAGTAACTTTAACATTCTTAAGAAGCTTCTCGAAGGCAAGTTTAAGGTTGTTACTTTTGCTTAACGACTTTGGTGCTATGTAAGGTCGCATTGTCTTGTCAGTTATTGTCAACGATCCAGTAAAGATTTCCTCATTCTCGTCATCATTGAAATTAAATATATAGGATGCTAATGCTTCAGCTAGAATTTTGGTATTTGTTTGGATATTTTCAGTTATTGCACTATTTAATTCACTTTCGGAATTAAGGACACTAGTGGATGTATGGTCACTAAACATTGATGTCTTTAATGGCTCTGAGTGAGATTTTAAACTTGATACTGTGAATGATGAGACACGCTTCATGCTGAATCTTTCGTGTGGGAATTTAAAGAAGGAATCAGCTAAATTGATCTTCTTATGGACACTCTCGAGTGACTTTTGTGAATATTGCTTTGTTTTCTTCTCAAGAATCTCATAGAATCGATAGACACTTGTGCCTTCTTTTGGTGGCTTTGAAACATGCATGAAGAGATCACCAATTGACTCAGAGAAGCTCTCTAAGCATATTGCAAATTCTATGTTGTGAATATTCTCTTCAACATTATTTTCAAGCCATTTCTTAGTTCCTTGATAGTTTAATAAACTTCCAGACTCATCGAGGACGAAGACAATTCGATATTTTGCTGATGATGTGACTTGATTATAAAGCTTACTAAATATATCGGCTAATGTTAACATGATTGTTGCATCGAAATTTGGTGGTTGACTATTGGATATCCCAAATGGCTTTAATTGCGATGAAATGATTATTACTGGCAATTTTGTTTGACTGTCTGTTGATGATTGCTTAAATGGAATTAATTCTCCTTGAATTATTGGAATACGACTATCCTTTTTCGGTGAATGAGATCCAGACACAACAATTTGATAGCTATTAGCTGAAATCTTTTTAAAGATCTCTGACAATGCTGATTGTTGCTTGGCACTTCCTTTTGATGGATTTTGATTAATCTCGGATATTATTCTATCAATCTCTTCGTCATAATTTGAGAAATAGACCGGAATTGAAATCTCTTCAACGAGCATTGCTTGTTCGAGCAGGAAAATGTTCTATGAATAAATTACATTAGCAACTTTGCTATATTTAGCCTTCATATTAATATGTACTTACTTCTTTTTCCTCCAAACTGAGATCCAGTAGATTTTTTGGCAATAAGACAATTAAGCCACCAGCTTTCAGTCGTATATCCCTGAACTGATCAATCGTCATATCTTGAAATCTAAATAGAGTTAATAAGTTAATTTAATTTACAGCTTCAATTGATGACCTAAATTCACTTACCTTGCTAAAACACATCCATTTGGTAAATAAACTGAATTTAATGGTCTAGCTTCTTTATTTATTGATGATGCACGACATCCCATGTTCACACCGGACGAATCAAACTGGATCTATTAATTAATAACTAATTAGTACCGAAAATAACCAAGCTTTATAAAATTTTTCTTACCATTCGCTGGATGTTTGAGAAATTGGAGTCTGCAAATGATGGATTTATGACCAATAGAAAGACCAAAAAGTATGGAATCCATTTAAGGTCATTAATTTCTTCTATCATCGTTACTTAATAAATTATTTTAATTTTTTTTGATCAAATCAGTCAGTTCTTCTAAAAGAATAGTCAGTCACTCGTTTGATTTAGGGCATAAAACTACGCGTATGGAAGTTTCCAAACCCTGATTTCAAAAACTCTTGTTTACAATTTAAAAAAGTTAAATTTTCTTTATTTTTGGGATAAGTACAATTAATTACCTGCTGCATCTGATAAATAACACAAGAATTAACATTATTAAACGTAATTAACATAATATAGTCAAGGAATTACTTGAATTCAGAACAAAATTCAAAAGTTTGTGAAATTTCTAGAAGCGTTTAATTAAGGCACCAACAAAAAGCATGTCTAGTGAAGGAGCTAGTGTAGAATTATCAAGCTATCGAGATCAGCACTATAAAGGAACAAGATATGATCAAGAAAAACAGCTAAAATTGACATCCACACTTTATGTTGGTAATTTAGCATTTTATACAACAGAGGAACAAATTTATGAGCTCTTCTCACGTTGTGGTGATGTCAGGAAGATTGTAATGGGATTAGACAAGTTCAGGAAGACTCCCTGTGGCTTTTGCTTTGTAGAATATTACTTAAGATCAGACGCAGAAGCATCTATGAGATATGTCAATGGTACACGATTAGATGATCGAATTGTTCGTGTTGATTGGGATGCTGGATTTATAGAAGGCAGACAATATGGACGAGGAAAGAGTGGTGGACAAGTGAGAGATGAATACAGAACAGACTATGATTCAGGACGTGGTGGATACGGCAAAGCTGTTGTAGTTAATCAAAAATAAGTCCATTTATGTCATCTAATGGAGCATATAATTTAATTAAATATGATAAGATTTTTTTCCCGAAGAATTAAGCTATGTACATCTACAAACTCAATAATAAATAAAATTTTCTGGATCTATTTTATAAGAAACATTTAACGGCTCTCGGATTTAATTTTTAATCGTAGGATTTATTTAAGACACACAAGACATCCATAAAAGGAATAGGAAGCAGCAGAACATAATGTGCATCTCGTCAGCACTTTGATATAACAATATGAGAGCTGCTCACGTGTAACTGGATCATATAGAGAGGCTTAAAGGAAAATATTTTAACAAAAGAATGCGTAGAATTTCCTTCATCCCCAATTTTAGCATTTCGAGAATGCGTGAGGAACGACTAGACGTTATTTATTTACAGCAATTGTTTCATGGAAATAACGATAAAGAATTTCTGTCACGTCAAGTCAATAAAAGTAAATATTTCGTATATTTTGCTCACACTTCCCGTACTTGAGAGAATGGAATGTGCAGGAAGTGTTGAAAAGTCACGAATTCTCTCCCTTCAGACGCATTTTTGGATTAATATATTTCACGTGATGGGCTTTGAATTCAACTTTAATGAGTGGAAATGAATTTGAGATTCATTTTTGGACTTGGAGACAGGGTTGCGATACAGGCACGTGTCACAAGTGAGAACCATACAAATCCTTGATAATTTATAAGGTTTTTTTTAGCAAAACCATACAAATTCTAATAAAACCGATAAAACCTCACAAATTATTAAGGAATTGTATGGTTCTCACCAGTGAACAGGTGCCTGTATTGCAATCCTGCTTCGAGATTAGCAGAGTTTGGATGTTCTGACCAGTTCTGACTAACGTAATTCGAGTATTCATCGGTAAGCTTGTCTCGAAGAGAATTTAAGCATATTCAGAATAAGGCACCAAAAATGAAGCCAAACAAAGCTCAAAAATATGAACAGAAACATTAAATTAGATTTAAAATGAACAAAAGCTTTCCTTAGTATTTCGACATGTAAAAATATGTCAAGTGACTTTATCGACATTATCCTTATCATAAAAATTCAAATTTCACGGATCATACCCTGTTTTTTCGTTATAAGCTACTACTCGTTACTAAGCTACTAGCTTAGTAAAGTTTTTTTGAACTTGAAAATTTTTTGTAATCTTTACTAAGCTACTACCAAAAATATAGTTTAATCAATATTTTCAACTTTTTAAGTATCAGTTTCAATGTCTTATGACATTGTCAATGAAATAAAATCGAGAAGATAGCAAAATTTCTTTAATTAAGTTAAAAAAATTCAAAATTTTCATTGAAGTTCAATTTCTTTACTAAGCTACTACTCGTTACTAAGCTACTAGTGATCCAAAAAAATCACTTTTTTATTCTTCTAAGCTACTAGCTTATAACGAAAAAACAGGGTACTTCCATCTCGAATTCAAATATCAGATTTCATATTCAAAGATTACCGTAACGAAATAATCGAAAAGTCATGAGCATTAGGCAGATGATATATAGAGGTAGTCATTAGATAAAGCATAAATTATGTTAAGATTTCTCTATTTTTCCCATAACAGCAATTAAAAATACATGAATGTTGCTGAAGTCTAGTTTTAATACATGCGAATGATTTATAAGGATGTAGAGTACGCATCAATTCATCTGAGCCTACACTCATAAAAATATTTTTAATAATTTGTTACTAAAATCTTATTAAAAAGTTTTTAATGAGAATTATTAAAATTTTAGTAAACCTTATCAAACTTTTAATAAAACTTATCAAATTTTAATAAAAGTTTTTAAAATTCTACAGCGTTGTAAAACTGTTGTAGGTTTCCAAAATTGTAAGGTTTTCATATATTTTATATACTTCACAAACGCTCCAAGAAATGACTTATACAAAAGAATGTCTTAGTTCTCATACAAAGTCATATAAAATTATAAATTTCTATGAGGCACATTAAGTGCCAAAAATCTTGCAAAGTCTTAAGCTTTGAGAAAGCATTTTAGTTTAGACTTGAAAAAGCTCCATACTTTAAATTAATTATACTATAAAGCTGTTTTTGTAAAAAAAATAATCCAAGAAATTTTAATGACTTTTTACTAAAATCCATGAACAAATTTAAAAAAAATTATAAAAATAAATCTTAATAACTTTTTACTAATGTTTAGTAAGAAAATTATTAAAATTTTAACAGTTTTGTAAAATTTGAATGCAATTTTGTAAAACCAAAACTTTTAATAACCCTTATCAAATTTTAGTAAAAGTTATCAAGATGTATTTTTATAAACTTTTATTAAACTTTTTCATACATTTTTAATAAAATTTATCAATTTTTTTTTATGAGTGTACACATCCAAAAGCTATAAAGAGTATTTACACTAACAAGACGCGTGATATCATCAAATGAGCAGTCAGTTTGATATTTGCTAAGCAATTGATTTATTAGTCTAGATAATTTGGACCTAAAGGCAGAAAGTTCACAGCACAACCTAATTAAATGGTTTTCAAAATGTAAATAAATGATAAAGTTGTTCATAATGGATCATTAAATTATTTTTTACTCTTCATACAGCTATTATGAACATGCTAATACCTTTTATTGTATTTAATGTGTTATCTTTTAATTAATGTTCATGAATCATTTTATTTTCTGCTTGACTGGATTTTTATTATGCTTGATTCTCAGCAAAAAAATTATTTTATTGTTCAGAATGAATGGATAACAGTGCCTGAACAATAATTAATGGCTATTCTGTTATGGCTTTATCGTGTTTAAATTTTCAGATGGATTGTAAAAAGGTTTTTTTGTACATTTTTGATGACATAATACAGCAAAGTATCTTTGTTAGGTTACATAGCGTGTTTATTAAGGATCCCGAAGCTCTTTTCATCTTATATGCATCAAATTATATCCAATTGGATCGGAATCCATTTAATGCTTTCTTTTTTAATCGCGTTGAACTGTAAAAGAATATAAGTCTCAGATCACAATCCAAAGATCCAGCATAATCCGGGAACGCAATCCAAAGTTTCAAATTCAATTTGTCTATAACGTTTTTTAAGAATTCAAATTTACAACGATTTTTTTAAATCAAATTTAAAATTCAGTCGTTCATTAATCCAGTTCATCTTCGTTAAGTTTATTTTTTTGTATGAATTTCCAAAAACCGTTAAAAATGATTTTTGAGATAACATTTATGATTGATTTAAAATAAAGTATCAATAAAGTCAATCATGATGATAACATTCACAGAATATTGATAATTATTAAAACCAAGGCAAAACATAGCTCCTTAATTAGTTGACGATATTGCAAAACATATTTGTATCCATATCAAAATTACTTCAAAACCAACACCTCACAACCACATTTAATGAATTATGGTTTGCTTCTCATGATATGTTAATGAATCATTGGTTTGGTAAAAGAGCTAGAACTAATTTCTTCGTTACATCATATGCAATATACAATTATGATGTAATTAAAATGCAATTTTGTATCGTTATTATTTGCTTTAGAAATTAAGTAAGACCAATGCACAATGTTGAACATACTGTATAATTAGTAGATGTTATCAATGAATTAGTTTATGGATTGGGAACATAGTTTTTATACCTAGGATGCATTACATGATTTAATGACCTTTGTTGACTGAAAGCTGTTGCTATTTTATTTATTCATGAATGCTTTGATTCTATGACAAAGAGGAGCTATCATTGTTACGTATTGTAAAGCAGTAATGTAAAATTCATGACTTGCAACAACATCCATATTAAAATGACATCCATAATAAATAATTGGCTTCAATTATATCACGCATCATATTACATGCACCGAAAAAATCCCAAAACCCGATTTGATAACTCTGACAAACAACTGTATGCGTAATATAGCTGCAAGTGCATTGACATTGCTGAATATCAAGTTTAAGAATAAAACTAGTTAATTTAAAAATATCCAAAATCCAATTTTTGCCTGGATATAAAAGCCGTACCAATGTCACAAATCATTATCAGTTTTAATTTAACTTATCAATTAGAAACACAAGCTCATTAGAACGATGGTAAGCTTTATAATTTCCAATTTGAGTTGACTATCCTTAACTTTTGTCTTTTCAGAAATTTTTAATATTTGGCCTACTTATAGTAGGTCACTCACTTGCTGCTCCAGAAAGAAGTAGGCGTGAACCAGACCCTCTTCCAATTTTCGCTCTACCAGAGCTTCCGAGTACAGTTGTTCATGGATTTTTAAAAGAATCTGGAACCTTAGATGATGTTTTTAATAGTTTCGATCAAGTCAGTGTGTCAACATTTAATGAGCATCACGAACATTCACCATTAACTGAAGAGCACAAGCATGTTCTTGATGAATACAAACCTATAGCTGATATATATAAGCCAGTAACTGACGAATACAAGCCACCACATGAAGAAGTCTGGCCACTGCATGAAGAATATGGTCCACCTGCTGAAGAGTACGGACCACCTCATGAAGAATATGGACCACCAGCCGTTCCAGAGGTTCGTCTTATAGAACCTACAACAACTACAGAGCAGTATGTCTACTCATGTCTCAAAGTGTCAAAAAATTTAAAATTTAATCTTTAATTCTTAGCTACTGCCCAACACAGGATTATCAAGCAGCATTTGTCCCATCCCCTCCTGAAATTAGCAACTTCCCACTTCCAGATGTTCCAATTGTGCCTATTGTTAAGAGTGAAATTCCAACATTTCATGAAAATTACGGACCACCAACAGAACCACCAGTAAATCATGAAGTCTATGGATTACCAACTGAAATTCCTGTAGTCATTCCGGAAGTTAAAAGTGAAATTCCAGTTTATCATGAAACTTATGGACCACCATCTGTGCCGATTGTTGAAGAGCCTCTTCCTGTTATTATCGCTCCAGAACCACCAACTTTTGCTCCATTGCCTGAATACGTCCCACCAGCAACAACTATCCCACCACAAACTCCAAAATTATATCCTTATGCAGCACCAACAACACCAATTCCAGAAACAACATTTATTCCGGAAGTAAAAAGTGAGATTCCTGTTTTCCATGAAGTTTATGGTCCACCACCAGTTCCAGAGACATCGACCGTTATTATTCCACCTGAGCCACCTACTTTAGTTCCATTGCCTCCTTATATCCCTCCTGTTACAACAACATTACCTCCTTATATCCCTCCTGTCACAACTTTACCACCTTATATCCCTCCTGAAACCCCTGAACCTAAGTTATATCCATATCCAGCACCAACCACTCAACCTCCAGAAATAATAACAACACCTGAAACCACTTTACCTCCAGCTACGGCAAAACTCTTCCCATACCCAGCACCAACCACTCAGCCTTCAGTAATTATTACAACTTTACCACCAACACCTGAAACAACAACTTTACCTCCAACAACAGCAAAGCTTTTACCATATCCTCAACCAACTTTACCCCCTCAAACAACAACAACAACAGAGGAACCAGCAACAATAAGAATTACTGGCAAGAAAGTTTATCCAGCAAAGGTGCACTCCAAGTATGAAGACACTCATCATTTACCAGGTCTTGTTCGATTAAAAAGACATTTGAAGCGCAAATGGTCCAAACCAGTCATTGTGCATCATGTTCCAGCATATCCAAGCTATCAATACGTTGTTCCATATCATCATTATGGAAAAACATTCAGACATCACTACTAACTCTAAATGGAACTAAATGGTGATAACATTAATGACAAGACATTGAAAATTAAGCAGCAAGCAGTAAAAAAGAATCTAGAGCAAATGAATTCTCACGAGAACTCTCAAAAATTACAAAAAAAATATTTATTTATAGACTTGATTTTTATGAAATAAAATATTTATTGAATAGCTTCAGTGGAAGTAGAAATGCTGTCTTTTAAACATGTTGACTAGATTGTATCAACAGGTTTGGATTGATTATGATAAATGTTGGCCTAAGGGTTCAAGACTCGATTTTAATGCAGGGGCGTAGCCAGGAATTTGAAGAGGGGGGGGGGCAATTTTTTTGTATGGAAAACTTTTAGGGGGGGGGGGGGTGATTTTTTCTAGTTTTTCCAGTTTTTCATAAAAACTCTAGCAAAATGAAGAAATTTCTCAAGACGAAGGTGGATTCGTCCCCAAAATCCACCCCCAGGCTACGTGCTTGTGTTAATGACTTGCCAGAAAAAAAATAACAAATTAAAATGTAAAGCATTTTTATGCTTCTTAAACTATTGACAGTCTTCAATTTAAATATTTTATTTATTTTATTTCAAAAGTGCCTCATTAAAGCTCAACAAATTCCCACACATGTCCTGCAAATTTCAGCAAAAAAGACATTTTTCTAGATCCTTAACATCTGTATGAAATTGTTTATTTATTATCGACACAAATGTGCTTCATTTTGTATAGGGGCCGTTCACTTATGACGTCAGATATTAACGGTCATTTTTCAAAAAAGAACAATCGAATTATAGAAATTTCTATTCTTCTTTTCTTGCTGACCCCCCCCCCCCCCCCCCCCCCCCCCCTCATGGACGTCATAAGTGAACGGCCCCATGCATATATTGGCATAAAAACCTCTCTCATAACACGTACGCAATAGATTTTTCAAGATCGTAATTTGTATAGTTACTTTAACTTAACCTTCATTTCTTTTCAATTTCCTCGTCGTCTACAATCGTATCATAGCAACACTTTGAGCATGAAAATTTTCATTACATTTCAATTTCCTTACAAAAAAATTGATGTTTATCTGAGGGCCGTTCACTTATGACGTCCAGGGGGCGGGGGGGGGGGGGGGGTTCAACAACGAAAGAGCAATAGAAATTCTTGAAAATTCATTGTTCATTTTTAAAAAATGACTTGAAAATTTGGACGTCATAAGTGAACGACCCCTTGTCAGTAGCTTTATTATTCTGTGGATATTCGAGAACAAAAAAAAATAATGTTTTCAAAGACTTACAGCTTGTCGATGTAAGAAATTTTCCTGGAAGCTGTAACGAGAATAATAAACATAATTCCATCTTTCTGTAGGTAATTGAGGAACATTCAAAATGATGACGACGGAGATAAGAAAATGATTTATTTCCTCTGTCTCGATATAGGCACAAAATGTTGATGTTGATGCTGATGAGAGTTAAATCAATATTTGTTATTACTATGCTGTCGTACAATTTTTCCTGTACATAGTCATGGAAGATCGTTCTCTTTGATGTTCGGATATTACATCCCAAAGTTAGTGGCAATTATGAGTAAATATTTATCTTGATTAAGTAACTTGTTGGAGTCTACTGGATGAAAAATTATTTTTTTGAGACTCATTGTGGATGTCTTTGAAAGGAATGACTTGCATGGGGATGGATTTATAAGGCAGTAAGGATGTATAATGTGCAGAGCTTGAAAGTGGGTCGGATCCCACTATAGCAGTTAAGTGCCTTGCTGGTCGAATAGGAAAGGCGCTTGGCTTAAATTTGGGAAGGTAATTCGAAGGTCGTCGGTTCGAATTCAGTCATTTCCAAATTTGTTCTTTTTCAGAAGTTTAGATACTTCGACTGCTTAATGTACGAGATCAAACCATAATTGGGCATTTGGGCAACGTTGGATTAAGGAACGGGTCAGGAACTTGAAGTGTAGCGCCAAAAATAGGAACGAGAGCTACAAGATTACCCACGAATGGAATATTGTTAGAACGGACCTGAAAAATATCACGTTACGCCCACAGAAGATCGAAACGAGATCCTTAGTTTATTTGAAACCTAGATTTGAAGATTAAAAGTTTGATCCTACATAATATTAATTCATATGTATACAAATACAAAAGTGTAAAATGTGAATTATTACGCTACAGTATGTCGTCAATAAATGCAATAAAGTGAAATTAAACTGTAGGTCTGAAGAGTTTGGTACAATTGATGCTTTACAAATTGAATCGCAGTGCCTCCAGCTGAAAGGCTGGGCCCTTCACACATTATTAAAGCAAGTCTTATTCTATATTAAATGAAGATTACAGAGATTTTGGGCATTTCCGAGTTTTTGTGATTTGGTGATGCTAACATAACAGCGTGAAGAGTCGTAGCTACAATGCTGGGTCAACGAGGAGGGTCTGAATGCCAATAATTATTCTGAATCCTCTTAAGTTATCCTCTGTAGATGGTTATCATATTATCTTCAGAAATTAAAGTTTTATGACTCTAAAAAGTAGGTCAAACCCTTAATTACCATCAAATCATCCCTTCAGACTGCTTTAAAATTCCCCTCCTTAACATCCTTAATGCTACATCTCTTAATAACACCTTCATTAATGAGCATAGGCTGTAAAATTTCCCAATAATGATGACAAGGATGATATGAAAGTTTTATTCTTGTAATAATTATTTTATATACAGCACCACCTGTACAGCACAACACAGCATTCATATTTCTTCATGTTTTTGTGTTTTCATTTATTACATTAATTTTTATGTACCGTGCTGTACATTCACTTGGCATTAAAAATAAATCATCATTATATTTTTTTTGGATGTATGTTTACGTATCTTGTACATAATGTTGTTACTGTTGTTGATGATATGCTGAAAAGCTTACAGTTTATTTATAAGATGATTGCATTTTTATTGAAATTGTGAGCCTTTTGCACGCAACTTATGCTGGCTAATTAATATTTTATATCGAAACATAAATTTCATTAGCATATATTATTGTATTTAGGTACAATTACCATAAAAAGGAAGTAAGGTGTTCATAATTTTTGTGGATGGAATGTGAAAATAATTTTAGGCAATTATGCATGCCTGTTTTGACATTTCCTTTTGTAAAAATGCTAACTTGAGTTTGTTGGATTGCCTACTCATGCTTGTAAAACAATTCTTGACATGAGACCAAAGCATATCCCAGCATTCGACCAAGCATATATCCAAGGAAAAATGGAAATAGCATCACATAAAAATTACTCAAAACCAATTCCAATGACAACAATTATACATGCATTACTGAATATTATTTCTCATGGCAACTGTCCATTGTAGATGCGTAGCTGGTTACATGGGTATTGCTTTATTGAATGCTATAGCAAAACCAGAATGCTTTTGTATTTTGATCAGAGTTCAAATTTTATGCTTAATTTCGTTCAAATGAGATTGGATACATTTGGTATCACCCTATCCAGGAAGAGTAAGCACATATATTCTTATTTATTTAGCGGAAATCTCGTCAACAATAACAAGATTGAGTCAATAATACATAATTAGAATAACAAATAATGCCTACTCGAGTATGTATGCATAAATTTTCTCTAATGACTCTTGTAATTAGAGAAATGGCTAAATATGAAACGTAAATAAATCACAAATTAAGAGAACTAATGTACCGTTATGGACAATTTTATTTTGCAGAGAATTATGTGCTTTGGGGGTTGTTTTAATGTTGTGTCAGTTCTGACTTCCACCATTTAGGCAAGAGGGGTTTGAACATATCAATTATTTCAGGACGTCATTAATTGATTATCCTAAACTGTTAAAAAACTATTACTATACAAACATAAGCATAGTTCTGCATGCGCGTAGCCACGAGGGTATTGTCTCCCTCTTAAGCGTTTTAAGCCATGCTCTCGTTGCGTTTCAAAACGTTTAAGGGGGATGAGGGGCAAGATCCTCCTGGCTACGCACCTGTAATCTTGGAAAAGAGAGGTTCATATCTAATTTTGTTGGAATATGCGATTCCATGAAACAGCCAGTCAGCGATCGTGGAAGGGAACAGTAAAAAGAATGTAACTTATATATGGGATTTAACTACATAGTCGTCTAACCCTTGATAGCTCAGTGGTAGGAGCATGCGATCGAAAATCGTAGAACGTGAGTTCAAGTCCCGCTCGGGATCCGTTATTCGAAGTTATACTTCTTTCTGTGGTTTTGTCATCTAGAGATTTGCTTCTTCCTTCTAGATGTTTCAATAAATTTACTAAGATGTATTCCCTTCCAATCTACTTCTGTTCCTTAACATCCGTTAAAACCCTCTTTACATAAATGTCTTTTGAAAGTGATTTATAGACTTTTTATGCTCCTCTATGTTGAACCTGATATGATGAAAATTTATTCCACTATTGAAATAGAATTGATTATAATTTCAGCAGCTAAGCTCTATCTTGTAATTGAAAATCTATTATTTTTTCGTAATTTTCAATCCATTTCCATCGTGGTCAACATTTCATTATGATGTTGCGAAGCGAAACTAACAAATCATATCTAAACTGCTCTACAAATTGGTCAATACCCTCATCATTCGTCATATTCATTCCTATCAGCACAAAAATATTTAGCGGACATTCAATAATTGGATTTGTTCCACCTCAAAAGCATTTATCAAGCACTTTTCAGAAATTTTCGAAACGCCACAAAATTTGAATTCATTAGCTTCAATAAAGTCGAATGCTAATTTATGTGTGGAACTGGAAATTTGCTACGTGGTGATCAAAACCAAAACGAAATGAATCATTTTGAATGTTGACGCTATTATTTATACGAGCTTTTTATCTCGAAGGCAATTCATTTAATGATACGAATGCGTAGACAGCTATTTTTATTGGCACATAATAGTTTTGAATCTTTCTTTTTTTTCGCTGATGAATGACTTTTTCCTGTTTATATAGTTTACAAATTCCAAACATCGACAAGTTTGCGACTGTTTATTGAGTCAGAAATTTGTTTTTGCGATTCCTCATAGCGCTTCCTGGGGAGACATTATTTCCTATTAATTAATTTTATTAACACATTCAAGTGTTGTTGACAAAATACAGAACATAGCATCTGTTGCTCATCTATGTGACACAAGAAGGAAGTACAAATTATTGGTAATTAGTCCTTGATTAATAGGTGCTATTATGTTTGGAATTTTCTATGGAAAATGTTGATTAATATTGTTCTGAGATTGATGTTGAGTGACTTAGTGAATTGCTTTAAGTTCCTCAAACTCAATTGACAAGTTGAACCCAAGTTGGACCTATTCATTTGTCCCTTCAAGTTTTTATAGAGTTAGATTT